TAGGGTTACGAGGTACGCTGGAATCGACGATGAAATCAAAGCTGCTGGCGTCGGTGTACTTAATATGGGAGGGGTGATTCTATCTTGGCATGGCCGCTAATTTTCCTGATTATTTTCGCATCTCTGATACGCAGTGGTTTCTAAGATATTTTTTCAAGTGTCGCTTCTTGACTCTCTAGCGTTTAATATGGATCTTTAATCGCTTTCTAAATACTTTGAATCACTTTCACAATAAACGACTCTACTAAAAATGACTTTATTCGCTCCCACAAAATCCGTCGAGCGACTGACTGCTCGTCAACGGTTAAACAGAAAAGCGACAATAGTCGTGTGCCGCCAAAAGAATGCCGACCATCTAATTCTTACAAAATAAAGCGCGAATCGAAGCCGAGACACCTACGCCCGACCTGCTCGCGATCCCTGAGCGACAATGGTTGTATCCCGCCAAAAGAATGCCGACCAGCTAATTCTTACGAAAACAATGTTAAAATATATTAAACCAGTAACGTTTATCTTGGTAAATTAAAAATAAAGTTGATTTCGTACAAGATCCCTCCTTGTTTCTTGAAAACACTGCTCTAAGGTGTCTGATACGTTACCAGCGTCTCTAATGAACGGTTAAGAATGACACCTTTAATATCACCCTGCTGATATCGCGGTCCCTAATGCGACTACTATATCACAAATGCCTACCTACCCGATAGTAACGCCTTTAATGTGACTAGTACGTTACTAATATCTCAGGCGTTGCACTCGAGCCTGACAGCTTTAATACCACCCTTTTGATATCGATGTTCCCACCGTGACTAGTATACTATCAATGCCTACCTGCTGATAGTAACGTCTCTAACGTGACTAGCGTGTTACTAATACATCGAACGCTGAACTTGAGCCTGACATCTTTAATACCTTCCTGGTGATATCAATGTTTCCACAGTGACTAGTATACAACCAGTACCCACGAGCACGCTGATATTAACGTCACCAATGACTAATCTAACATTACACCTGGAATCTTTAAAACTTCCCTGATATCGAAGATACGACTCGTGATCGACGTCAATCATGCGAGTAACGTATGACTAATATATCTAACATTGCACTTTACTATATTTCCTATCACCGACGATTCTAGCATGACTAGCAATTCGTTACTATCTGATCTATCTGTTTCATTTCAATCATCGAACGAATTTTTTAAATCTTTTAACACTAACTGCACTCAGCAATCCTCTCGTCTCACGGCGACGATGAATCGTAGACTTAAAAAGAGAATTTTAAGGTGACTAACGACTCACTGGTATCTAATCTGGGTACTCCGATCTCCGAACAAATGTTTTAATCCTTTAACGCTGAACACACCAGGAAATGTCACGAAATCACGAACTTCAAGTCCACGAACACGTGGGATTTCTGGATAAACGACATTTTATGATACATTGTACAGATGGAATTCGCATAGCGCTTCGCTGATTAATAGCGTGCGCTCGTCGTGCCTCGAAGGTCTACGAGGAGGCAGCCAAAGGAGCGAGGAAGAAAAAAGTCGTGATAGGTTATTTATCGACACCAAGCTGACGAGTGCGTGTAGAGTCGAATTGGAGAAAGGTGAAAAAAAAAGAGGCTGTTCGGATGCCGAGTGTGCCCACGTATGAATTCCTCAGCGGTGGCGGGACCTGTGCCTACGTAAGTGGTTTCTCGACCGGAGAACCGGGATAAAAAAAAGTTTGACACATTCCGCAGGTGTGCTTTCTTCGAGGGGGAGAGTTCGCGTTCTCTCAGTGGTTTACGATGTTTCCTATAATGTTGCGGGAACCAGTTTCGTGGTGCGGTTTAAGGAAAACGAAATTGGCCACTATCGTTGGCCACCGTTGAAAGGTTTCTCGACGGGAACGAAGTTGGGAAAGAAATTGGTACGAGAAGAGGAGTAAGTATCGGGTCGTCCAGAGAGTTCGTGGCAATTTTTAAGAAAACTTCAAAGGCACGCTTGAATTTCGATATATTATTTATGTAGGATTTTGGGATCGATCGAGGGTGTTTGTACGATGAAATTGAAATGTATAAAAAGATTGACGCAGCAGGTCCGCGCGCTACGACCGTTACAGGGACGATAAAAAGACGCGAAAGTCTTTTGAGCGAATTCGGGATTCCGCGTTCGTAAAAGACTTTGTCAAGTTAGTAATCGTTTGAACTTCGGAGAGACAACTATCACCGCGAACGCCTTCTATTTGGAATTCCAGAAAATAATTAGAAGTAATTGTTATCCGCACTGATGAAAAATCGCACTATCGCGCCTAGCTACCCCTCGCCTTTTACAATGCAGAGGACCGTTGTTTACAAACAACTACGACGGGAGAAGAAAGAACAACTTCTCGTAATGGACAATCTGCCGCGTTTTATCGTAATTAATTCGATAGCGCGGAAACGATGACCGCGACATATAAATAAATGCGATTTTCTCTTTAACGTGCCTCAGCGAAGATTCGTCCACGGTTTGATCGCTGTATCGCCGAGGAAATTGATCGAACCCTGTGATCTCTGTAGAATGGGAACGTTCGCGAGGCAAACGGTTTAGGATTTTATTTTTTCATAGGTAAATTTTGATAAAATGGTAGATACTTGTGAAAGTCCCTAAGAATATAAAAAGCTTCGTAGAACGAACGCTGTCATTGTGAGAATAAAAACATAAATGGTAAAGTGTGTACCTCGAATTAAAATATCATTCCATCATCCACATTTCGATAGAAGTGTCAAGAGCAATCGATTATGAGACTTGTTCTAATTAATTCAAATGCACTGCGTTATGAGATTAAAAACACTCGCTTATAACACGGTAAGCAATTTTAAATAACGTCGTTCCAGCAACCATACGGGTAGACAGAGACGCCAACAAATAACGATTACGCTTAAGAATCACATCCGAAGAATTTCAGATATTTATTGGCGAATTTCCATTTCTGTTTCTTCAGAAAACAATTACCAAATACCTCGTTATATAACTCCTTGGCATCGACAGTAGGAGAACTCGAAAATTAAATTTCGTTGGATAATCGGTTTGAAATTTGCATTTTTAGAAAAAAGGTAGGTATACTAATCGTGAAATTTGGTTAACTCGGCTGCTGTGTTGCATACTTGTTGTTTTTTTATACCGTTTTACACGATAAAAGAGCTGTACCTATTAAGCTTATTTGTGTAACAAAAATGAAATTGATGCTGCTTTTTTAGTCGTATACTACTATCGACGCCACAGAAGTAACATATTATCGGTGCGACTAAATAAATTAATACACACAGATCTATGCCGAATAAAGAAACCAGTTGAGAGTGACTTTTGATCCTGGACTAAAGGAGATAAATATTTATGAGGTGACAAACGGAGTAAGTTCAGGTGCGAAAATGAAGAAAAATGCATTCTGAAATCTTTCGTTCAAATATAGAACTCGCTCGAGCGATCGAGTGATAAATAATTCTTGTTTGTCTTTTAAATTTATTCAAGCAAAGTATTCATTACTTCAAAAGTATTCATTTAACTGAAACTCAAGTCATCTAACGGAAGAACACAAAATTAAGCCAACAGTACTCGAGCCTTTTCTTTTTATTTATTGCTAAGGCCACCTCTGCTATGGACATCAATATTTTAACCATTTAAATTTCTATGCACGCAGGTTTAAAACTAAACTAATGATTTCAAAAGATAACCAAATAAGGAAAGTTCTAATTTGTCGATCTCCAACAGTTACTGTTCGAGAGGTACAGCAAACCGACGTTACTTTATTCGGAAAATCCTCGAGATTCCACCACTGCCCCGAAAATAAAGAAATTCCGAGAAAACGGTGCTAATAAAAGAGATCGGGAGAATTCCAAAGAAGTCAGCTCTTTGTTCGGCGAAGGAATCGTTTGAAAACCCGCAACGTACAATGGAATAAAATTTCGTAACGAGAAATCGAAATTATCTTCTTACGGCTGTAAAAGCGTCGAGTTATCGGTGCTCCACATAATTAAGTTAGCAACGAGCACGGTGCAGCGGGGCTCCGATTAATCATTAGCCAGCGCGAGAACTAGAGATATCACGCGTTTATAATTATATTTAAAAAAGAATCCGCTGTCGGATCTTTTAATCGGCCGTCGGATAATACCAGCGCTATTTACCTATCCTCTTTGCCTCGTGCAAACAAAAGACTGTTTGTATCGCACGGCGCGGGACGCTCAAAAGACCGACGGGCGTAGCACACCGAGTGCTAATAATTTTTCTATAACGCCAACGACTTGTAAAACGTTCGCTCGTTGTTCGATACGTTGTTTCCACGGCGCTTATCGCGCTTGGGAACCGCGTCTAATTAACAGAGAAACGAACCGGAGATGGTCACAGTTCTCGTCTAGGTAAACGATCACCAGTAACACGTACAAAACGAACCAAATTTTTAGGAAACAAGAATCAAACTAACTTCTTCGCGTTTACCTATGGGTCTTAAAGAACGTACGAAATGTAAAAGTTTAAAGACACGAAGAAACAAGGAAATTGATTTTCCTGTAAATCACAAAGAATTATATATTATTTATATTCCACTTCCAAACAAAGCCAAACAGTGGATTTGTTGAGATTAAACATCTGCGGGTCCGTACTGTGCGAAAAGAAAAATATGAAATTCAGAAGTTGAGAAAGCGAGACACGAGGAAATAGAGAAATTGTTTTTCCTGAAACTTGGAGGGAATTAAATGTTATTTCTATTTCCAGACACACGCGGTCAGGAGTCTAAAAGGTTTCCGAAAAGGGATTCCAAGATTTTATTTCCATAAAAACGTGTGTCTTAATAAAGAAAGAAAATCGTAAACCCTGTTAGGAAACTCTGTGGCAAGTGCGTAAAACGCCGTCGCGCACACATCACCTGTACTCCGATGTAATTTCAAAAGCCGCGATCACGATTCATGAACGATCCAGAACGCCTCCAAAGGCGAATAAGCTTACACGATTTTCGTGACAAACGGCCGATTTGGCCACATACCTTGGCCACAGTGACGGTGTTCGCGGCAGCATCGAGATAAACGAAGACGGATAGGAGGATGGCGGCACGGATCATCGGGATCATCATCGTGTCCACGGGCTGGGTGGTGAGTACGTCCTCGAGGGTCGAAGGACCGAAGCCACTGGTCCGACACGCACGTACATGCACGGTCACTCACACGCACTCACTGTTCCTGGCACATGGCATCCTCCTTTTCATGATCTCTCTTCTTGTCCACCGTTTTGCGCTCGCCTTGCGATCTCCCGGCGTTCCTCTTGGCTGCCACTTTCTTCCGCTCACGGGGCCGCCCGTTTACAGAGGATCTCGAACGATTCTCTTTTTCGTACCGCGACGGGGGTCGAGAGCTGAGCAGCTGGGGGTAGCTGGGCATGCAAAGAGGAGGACTCCGCCAGCAAAGGACGCAAATGTATGTCCAGCCGTGGCAACTGCCGCCGAGCAACTGGCACTTGCTCGCCTGCTGGAGCAAGCCTGTCTCGGTCTCGGCCCCGACGGCAGACTCCCCGGTTGCAGTTCCTATGTGTATATACGCTCCTCTTCTTCGCTATCGGGAATTTCGTGGCAAGGGTGGGGAACCTTTTGGCACTAGGGGGCCCGAGTGTTGCTCCACGATATTCCTCACAAGGGGTTACGCCACCTGGACAATTTCTAACAATTGCGTTCTTCGCGATATGACAGTTTGAGACAGGGGTGGGGAACCTCTTGGCAATGGAAGGGCGCGTATCGCTTCGCCAAGTCCTGCGAATGCACGTACAAAACGCGTTATAGACAGAGCAAGCTGATAAAATAATAACGTTTCCGGCTGTAATTTATAATGGTTGATACGAAAGTGTTTTATAAAATTTTCACGAATTTCAGTCTGGCAGCCAACGCGTTGATGTAACTTCTATATTTCTGTATATCTATCCCAATGAATGTAGGCAATGATACATTATTATTTTTCTTGGAAAGTTTTTCCACGTTCTCTATCTATTTTTACAAGTAGAACTCCGGTTTCGAAACTCTATCCCTTTCATATTGAAATAATAAGCTTAGTCATTTGGACAGGTTTAGTCATAAAATAGAAGACTACATTGCTCAGGGGCTGACTAAACAAATATTCTGACACTGGAGGGAATATATCACGATAAAAATACGTTGGATTCCTAATGAATTCTGATTAGAACACGTGCACCATCTTGACGTTTTTAGTATCTGTGCGATGCAATTATGTTTGCAACCATATCACTTTAGTATTTACTTATCGTAACATCACTTGCGAATTGTCCTGAACAATATAAAAGCTACAATATGCCTTTATTTTTGTTCTTCTTGGTACAGATCGTTGATGCAAATAGTAACGTAAATACTAATCTAACTAATGTAATATTTCAACGCATCTGTAAATCATAGTCAATCTCCAATCGATCACTTTTCAACGAAACTATTTGCATGACGCATGCTTGCTTCCTGATTATTCGTTATTTTCATACTCGGAAAATTACTTGTGCATAATTTATTTCTACTTTATCTCTTTATTGCATCTCGATCGGTGTAGCAAGCTCCTCGTACGGGCGTGATATTCTCGATGCGTGCTCCATCGTCTGTCAGAGATAAGAAGAAAAACATCGTTGTTGTTTTTAACAAAATTAGCCCGACGTATCCATGTGAATCAGAGATGGCCAACATTCTTATCTGGACGAATATTAAAAATTCGAAATATCGCGATTTTTTAAATTCCGTTCTTTATCCTGTTCTATTTTTAGAAAATTTGTTGTTTTGAGAACCACGTGAGTCGAAGATTAGGTCCACTTGATTTCACCGTGAGTTTCCGAAACATAGTTCGTCCTTCCTGTTGGAGTGCCCAAGAGGACGGAATCGGTAGCACCTGTTCGTGAGAAACAAATCAAAAGACCATACATTAGTAATACGCATCTTTCGCGAATAGAATTGAAAGAAACCCAAATTATTTACCCGAGTCGATCCTCTATAATTTTCTCACGTGATTCTCCAAACAATACGTCCACCGAGATCGCGTGGACAATAAATCACTCGCAACTTATGACGGTGTATTAGGGAGACAATGACTGTAATGCGGATAATGGGCCAATCGGGCGCGTTTGCGTTTTTATCGATACGTATCAGGCAATTTCGACGGTTGTTTCGCTCTTTCCTCTCTTCCGACAGAGATAGTTCCGCGCGATCCAAGATTCATGAGTCATCGAGAATTCGAAACCGATTCAGAACTGGTTGTTTGGCCGATGGAATGTAGCTTTTAACAGCGAGCAACCGAGCATCCTGGCAGAAAAGGGATGCGAGAGAGGGTGCAGGCGGATTATACGCGTTTAAGAGCGAACGTACACCTGTGGGGCATCCAGCGCCTTCCTCATTAAATTTCAATCGGAGCCCTGATTTATTACCTCGTGTCTGTACTTCGCGCTTCCACCTCGTTCGGGCCGATTGTCTTCTCGGAATTCTGCAAAAAGCCTCGAGTCTGAGAAGAACGTTGCCGCGTCCGTTGAATTAAACAGCTCGCGAACGTATTGTTCTACGCAACTGTTTTTGGATCCAGCTCACCTATCGGCTCTTTCTTCTTCGTCGACGCGATTCACTTGCAAATTCCGTTTCCTCCCTCGTCGCATATCGCGTTTCTTGCGGCTGCAAGTGTTACGTTAAATGATAAAGGGTCCTTCAGAAGGGGCTTCCAGTTTTTCTTTTTCAGTCAACACACGTTGCATTAAATGTAACTTACTTTAGTCGAGATAAAACTGTTTGTATCTTTTGAAAACCTTTGTCACTAAGAATACTATATCGATGTCACTCTAAAATTTACTTAAACCGTGCGCGAATAAATGCAGTTGCACTTTGAATTTTACAATGCAGAATTATGCACGTATATTCTATTCCCGTCAGCACGCGTAGGCACTCGATACAAAATTGGACACAGGTTTATTCACAAGCTCGTCGTCGGATTTAAAATCGACCGTACATTAATCGTGGCATCGATAATTCTTAACGTTGTCGCGTGCAAGCAATATCTGTCTTCGGGACACCTGCTCGAGACAAGCAAACACAATGGCGCTTAATCGGCCAGAACGATCGAACTCTTCGATTGAACTCGTTCCACTGGTAGGCGTACCGAGCAAGATAATAACTTGCTATTCCTCGGCTACCTACGTGCCCATGGCTGTAATTCGCTAGTAGGGTTCGCAGCTGGCCTTTTAACGTATTTTGTAACTATTTTATCACTATATAACGACGTTGCTATTATTGATAATTAACTGTATATTGTTCGTAAGTTTCAACCCCTGTTCGATCCTGTTATATTCCTTGACATTCATCAATTATATGTTTTATAACGAGAAGCTTGATTTTGTAACATTTGAAAATTTGTAAACATTTCGCACATTAGACACGCGCCTCTAGAAATTAATATACACGCCTATGCAATTTGTTCGTGCTTATACTGAACTCTAGACTCTAGAGCAGTGTTTGCTTTGTGATTGCTATTCCAGTGCTCGCTCACAATTGTCAGATTAATTTTATTTATAACTAAAACACTCTCGGCCCCTTTATTATCTGTTTTATTTATTCTTAAATTGTACTCTCGAAACTACAATTGATAATATGTATATACAACCCTCATTTCTTTAGCAATAAAAAGTCTGTTCAAACTTTATTGTTACGACTACCAAAACGATTTCACTTCAAAAAATACAAATCTTTTGAAAGTACAATCGTTACTCGCCACTCCATATCTTCCCATTATTCAAAGATGTTGCACTCCTTTCCTTACGATAATTATTGCACTTACTCATAGATAACGGCGCATCGATAACAACGAAAACAAATATAACAGTTTCGAGTACGAGTCGTTTGGAGTAAACCGCGGTGATGAGGATTTCCCGCAACGAAGGGGATTTAATTAATCGAGTGACGCAAACGTCGAACCCTATACTTCCCGTAAACGAAGCAAAATTTCAAGATTAAACGAAGACAACCGTTTACTCGGCGAGTGCATTCGGCGCAGACGTTGGCATTCGAATGCTCTCGGTCCAGCGGAGAAAGTAGCGACGATCGTGAGCTCAATTACACCGTCGTGCCTGATGTAATTGATGGAACGTTTCGGTACTCGTACTTCGAAATGTCACTCGCTTTACAGCACGCTTTTGGATACGTTCGGATGAATCGAAATAAAATATCGTATCGTCGACGAGTCGAGCCGATTTCGGGGCGATTAACAATTTTACTTTCTCGAGTGGTATTCCGTCGCGAAGTCGCGGCGAATTCAGAAATCGGTCAGTGATTGCGTCCCTGTTCAAGAAGGGACTTAACAGGCTGCTCGTTGGCCAAGCCGCCGTCGGTTGGACAGCAACTCACTTCGTCGTCCACTCTGGCACACCTGTTCACTCAGGTATGCGATATTCCCTCTCTGTCTCGCTCTTTCTTCCCTTCTTGCAGTTCCTTCCTCCCGTCCGTCTCTTCTCCACCTTTCTTCTATCTCTTTCTTACCCCTCGACACGACACACGGACGGTGGTTTACCGTTGTCTCAGTGATTCTGGATCCACGGATCGAGCTGGTCCATTCGCGGCGATGCAAACATTTGCGGCTTAAATAGGCGATCTCGTTACTTGGAACAAAAAATTATTACCGTGGATTATCCATTAAAATATACGTTTCCCCAAAACGAACAAAAATATTTGCGACGCCTCCGTGTCTTTTAATTTTAATAGTATCTTTTCTGCTCTGTTACGAGTACAGCCAATCGAGCTGTGCAATTAGTTGGCCGTTAAAGCAATTACCGTAACTGGAAGCGTGTCGACGTGTAAATTCCTCAGGAAAATTCACTTTATATTACAACTCGATTCCCTTATTCAAAACTATATATTTACTATATTGCTTGTTTACAAAATTGTATAAACCATCGCTGCTACAACTACGGAAAAAAAAAACTTGAAAATAAAAAAAGAACACCCCTCTTGAAAGTTGTAAACTAAAAAATTCCCTTGACTTTACAATGTCCCGTTCCTCGTCCTCGCCGTGATCCGATAAACGTTGCCTTCTTCTGATGCTCGGACGATCTGCATATTTAGTATTACATCGTGTACCTAAGAGTGTAGCGTAAGAGTCGTGATAGTTTGCCCATCGGTTTGCGGATCCGCGATATCGGTTGTCGTTTATCCGTGTATGCTCGCGTCGGTCGGCCCGGCGGCTTGTTAAAATTCATCTTCTTCCCTCTCGCGTTCCCGTTCACGGAGTTTACGGTGCCGCCAAGTTTCCATTTATTACCAGGCGAAGCCCATGGGGCCCGTAGTCCTGACAGTTTCAGATTGTTTCGGACCGATTGGAACAAGTGGTCGGTTCAATCTATAGGGGGGGCACTCCCCGAGAGTCGGTTCTCGACCTGGCCGAGCAGAAGAACCAGACAATAGGACGCCAACATCCGCACCGGCGTGCAACTTGTCTTTTTTCGGTGTTGCTCGTTTGTTAGCGTTTCTTCTTTCGCACGCTCTAATGCGCCCGGAGAAATTGTTCGCCGACCTCGAATCGGATAGGTCTCCTCGACCGATTTCTACGTCTCTTCTTGAACGAGGGACACCGCTTTTTTTTTATACAAAAGATGAGTTATTACTGTGTACACTTTTTAAACGAAGCACTTTCTTTGTGCAAAATTTACACCAGGAAAATTACTACAGCGTAGACAATCGTTTGGTTCTGTAGAACTGTTCGAGACGCTAGCATTGTGCGATTCGTTTTCAAACGCGATTTTTAATACGAAATGATACCGCGATAGCTCTCAAGGCACCTTTCTTTTGTACAAGATCAGAGTCAAGAATGTTACTATGATGTAAACAATTTGGTCCTGCCAAACTATCGAAGATATCGTCGCAGTGTATCATGCGGTGACGCAGAAGATTCAATTCTCGGTAGTTTCGTAGAGTACCTGCCTCAAGACGCGAGTTCCATCTTGAAGTTTGCAATATCTGTACGATGGAAATTTGTCGGTGGGCGATTCGTGCAAGTATTTCTCCAACAATATCGTTTTACCGTCCTCTTCGTTCGTTAAATTCCATATATTGACGAAGTACATCGAATACGTGTTAATATTGTTCATCGCTGTGGTGGACCACGCGCAGAAGTACACCTAAGCGATCGATAGAAATACTTTGGTTAAACAATTCCAACAATTTTCAATTTTTCCATTTATTTATTTTTGTTCACTTTTACTCACGTTCGTTTTCAATATTCTCGAGCATGAGTTCATCGTGTCGAGAATGATCGAACACGTTTTGGCGATGTGAACGTTTTCCATCGCCTTGGTTTTCTCGTGAACGTTCACGTAGGTGTCGAAGTCATCGATTAAGAGCACGGAAGGTAGGGTGGCAAAGGTGTGCAACTCGACGAGTCGTTTCACCAAAGCCTCGTAGTTCTCCAAGTACCTGCGATATTAATTTCTCGCGATCATTCAATATTCGTTTCATAATCAAGCACATTTGTTACATGGCGCTGTATGGTAACGCAATCTTGTTCTACGGTGACTTCGTTCATGGGCTTTGGGATACTAAGAATTACGAGATAAATTAACTAATTCGCGATTGCATCACGAAGAGGATTCGAGGCACGTTTGAGATTTGTTTAAAATTACGAATTACTTTAGTTATCGTATTATTCTAAACTAAATCAAGTAAATGGTTCCAGGCACTTAATTAGGCTAACCAGGAGATAACTAGATTTATTTTCGTTCGCATTTTCAATTATTTCAAGGTGCTTCGGTTGCTTCGAATTTAAAAAAATGAACATTTTTTCTACAGTACAATGAGAAATGTTGTGCTGCTCGCGCTGTGAAAGTTACGTTGCCCACAGCGAGCAGGAGAAAAAAAAAATGAAAAGATAAATTCCAGCGCGTGGTTACAGCAATACAAAATTCTCCGATCCTATCTTTCATATTTTCTCGAGTTGCGAGTCTAGCTGATGTCACAAGCGGGCAGAACATGGAAGGACACACATCGATGAACGAAAGAATAATTGCGTCATTGCGTATTGCTAGAATAAAAATAAATTTATTTCGAGCGACGTACGTCCATATCGACAAAAGTTATAAAAATGTGTAAAAAAAAAGTTGCTTGCTTGGTTCTTTTAAGTGCGTAAGTGTCACTTCAGTTATCGGACTGAATCTATACAACAAAATTTCTATTCTTCTTGGCATTACTTTGCCTTATAAAGCTAGAGTATCCCGGAGTTGCTAAGTCCGTACTGTAGCTGCATATTCGCATGCTAAAACCCCTGAGGGCGTGCAAAAGTTAAACTATTACACCATGTAATATTTGATAATTATTCTCCCTTCCGCGTTCCTCTTCTTAAAAATAGTACGAAATCGGTCTCAGTCGATTAAGTTTAGCAAAAAGATCCGTATCGATACTACGAATAATTAGAATAGAGAATAGCGTTCGTCGGAATTAATGGAACGTTCCCGTACATGCAACGATAAACATTTTGTTCAAATTTAATGTTCATGCGTAGCATCACGAGCCGCCATCGGTAACACAGCCTGCGCGTCGATGATCAGAAAGAGGAATTTTCCTCTTTTGCCGGAAACCACGTTCAACGAATCCTCCGCGCGGACATAGAATTTCGATGTTTGAAAAAATAAACCGAAGAAGAAGGAAACCGCTGATTTGCGACGATCCTCGTTCGACCGTTTATTTTACTGTTCCCTCTGGTGCCGTGATGAATAGCGCATAAAAATTGCGAACTTCGCCGTTTAATGGAGGCACGGGCCGAAAGAATAAACCTTTTCAAACTGATTCATATGTCCAGCAAATATTATCGTTGTACGAGCTAAACAAAACAAAACAAAAAAAAAAGAAAAGATTAGACCAGGCTAATGTTACGAGGAAATTTATTCGATGGGTCGTTTATACTTCTATAACGATATTACAAAGAGGTAGGGTTCGCGAGTGTTTGTGCTCGATGACCTCAAAAACCGTTGAATCTATTTGGACAGGACTTTCGTCGTTTGCTTTCTTGTAATCGTTCGAGTGTCGTACCGCGAATGTTTATGCAAATGTATATTTTATATGGTAATATGTGCGCACTTATGTATAGCAAACATATCGGAATACAAAATATATGTTGGAATAAAACATGTCATGGAACATCAAGACAAATATTCCCATAGAAATAATATATTACGCGTATGAAGTATTCTCCCAAAGGGATCTTAGGATTTTGTTTAACAAAAAAAGATCTTACAGCCCCTTTCAGAGAACCTTTAATATAATGAAACATGTAAGTACTCGTATTCCTATATAATTATCTTGTTTATTTATTATTCTTTGCTCAAGCTCAACGTAGTGTTTCCGTATTCCGTATTTAATTAGCAAACGACATTACTAAAACGAAATTAGCAGGCACAACTATCCGTAACAATTTGGTATGAATATACGAATATAGACTTTACATGTACCGAGAAATTCAGCTAGTTCAATGATAAATAGAGGTCCTCCGCGCAGCAATGTACTGCGTACTTGGTGGAATCTAATGCAATCCGATGAATAATGATCCTGCAGCGTGATCTATGAGCGTTTAAGGGGGGCTCTTATGAAAATACGATCAGTCGTAAACAACGCCTATGTTTATGCGCGCAGAATGTCAATAGCTGTCGCGTATGACGCGCAAAAGTAACTAATCTTCCTTGATCGATCGCTTCCTGGACGTTAAACAAACTTTAAAAACGTTCCATCCCGTGGTGCGTGGAATAGTACCAGTCGAAACAAACAAAAAATATTCAGAGAGCTTTTAACTATTTTCAAATAATAAAGTTGTCTATACTATCCGTCGAAAGGTATAACAATTAACATTAACAAACATCGACAACTCCGAGGACAGCGAATATAAATATTAAATGCTCCCCTGACTATAAATATTTTTCGATGCGTTCATCTGTGTGGAACGTTACGGAAGAATCGGTGTCTCACAGTTGGGCGATGTTCGTTGTAAGTTTGGTTAAGTGGACATAAATCTGACGCTCTTTTTATAGAAACGAATCCCGAAGGCCGTTGCACGTGCAGAAGCACCGCAAGAAAAGTGTTCCGCTTACATAAATCTCATCAGCTTGAAAGCCGCGGGTGCTGGATTACTTCTGTCGTGATAGGCCGCCGGCAGGCTCTCCAACGGGGCTGGTGTAATGTAAACGACGCGGCGTCCTTCCTCGGCCCAGTAAATTGCTGCCTGCGAAAGAAAACCCGATTCCGGAAGCGTCGGGATCGCTCGTGACAAAATGGACCCGCGATAAGTGCCTAACCGCGCGATGAAACACTCGAGTTTAGGCAACGACTACATCAGACCATTCAGAGCTGTCCAAACGAAGCTCATCGACACTCGAGTTACGACGAATCGATCATACTGCACCGTACCATCTAGCAAAGCGATTTTACAAGTTGCGTACGGTTGCCACCGTAACATTTTACTAGATGGCACAGTAAATTCGTAGTAATTGAAATGTATAGAACGAGTTTGGACACCTTTGATTTACAAAATAGACCTGCGTTAAGTGCCTAACAGCGCGATGGAACACTTTCATGGAATAAATAATACTTGCCAAATAAGAGATTGACATAAGAACGATACAACAAGACAAAAACGTAAAAAAAAGAACAAAACGAAATCGTGTAAAAATGGGAAAAAAGGTGTTATAGTCACTGGTGTAAGACTTCACATCCAATAAATAAAAAACAAAAATTATGTTTGTTAGTAAGCAACATGGTCTCGATCGATGTAAATTTGATGACTTTTAACGTTCTGAAATAAATTTTTTGTAATTTACTGTGACAGTTTCAAAATACTATGATGCAATGTATTTTGTGCTTATATCCATGTGGAGTCTTGGAGAAAGGCTGTATTTCTTCAAACCGTTGCATTCGATAACGATAAAATCTACTGTTAGTATGGCGCAATTCTCCGCACGTTTGAATTTAGATTCTATTTACGTTTTATATCGAACACGAATTCTGTCGTTACCAATTATTCGTATTTACAGAATGTTCTATAAAACAAGATTCTGATTTAAAAAGAAATTAATGGTACAATACAAACGACACGAAAAAATAAAAACACCGTAATAATCGAGTAATTCGATACTGTGTAAATTGCTTTCATTATTTAACTATGTTAATTATGATGATAAACACAGAAGGTACAATTATTCTGTTATAATTACCTCGAATATGAAAGATTTGCTTAACTCGGCAGGCCCACAAAGTAACGTTGTCTTCACATTTTTCTTAGCGGAGAACATGTCTTCCGCCGATTATTAAAATCGTATTTAGGTTATGCGATTACCGCGATAAGTGATGTGAATTCTTTTCTTTGATAATTATTACTGTGTACTGCCAATAAAATGTAATACTTACAAACGATACATTAATATCGTGGTATCTATTCTAAAACTAGCTAGTGTTTCCCGTTATCCGATTGTTTTGTTTTTTTCTGCAGTACTTTTGTAAATACTGACTTGCGAAAGAAATTTAAATGAAACGTCATCTTATATTATCCAGTAGCGTCATCTTTTAACGTAATTTCCTCGGCAGCGACATCTTAAGTGGCATATGCATGTAACGTATCGAACACTTTCGGGATTCCATTTATTTGAAAGGTTTCTGTCAGATTGAAAAAAAAATTATACTTGAGGATATAAAAACATGTTCCAAGAAATTATTTCTATCGGTTACATAACTAAAATCATGTTCGGATGATGGTATAGCCATCTAGTGGTGAACATACTGTATTAAATTTTAAACTTTTGGTCAACAGTGATCAACAGCAAAACACCAAAGTTTGTAGTGAAATAGTTCTCATTTTTTACGCTGCATAACGCCACTACGTGAAATTCTGTATACCGACATTCGAGTAATACATAATCAGATATATAATCACTATTTCACTACGAATTTGTGCGTTCTGTCATTGTGAGCGGTGACCAAAAGCTCGAAATTAAGTTTCTAAACTACAAATGTAAATTTATATGTTAACTTTATTTTTAAGGTACAAATATATTAAATATAAAAATGTAACTTTTATTTAAACCTTATTTAGATTTTTGATTAAATTTTAACACGCATACATAGAGTGGGAAGTTTAGTATCACAGTATTAAAAATTGTTTGATACTTGCTTACTTATGAGTTTGCACTAAAGACATAGATACAGTCTTTAGCACAAGAGTTTGTAACTTACAAATTACTTTCCCCAACCTAGAAGCATAATGATATATATTTAAAGTCATTATACAATGTAATTATTAAGAGTCTGAGCTTGTAGTAGCATACCTATTGTGATAATCTTCGATAGTGTCATGAGTATGTAAGAAATCTTTAAGACCATTATTAACACTTTGATACGTATCATTCTGTGATTTAATTATATCCATGATAGATTGTAAAATTTTTACACATGATTTTAAGGTTTGCATTGTTTCCATCTGTTCTTTGGGTGTTTCAGGAAGAACTATATCTTCACAGAGAAGTACATCGAAACGTTGTAGTAGAGAATATAACTGAGATAAAGTATCTTGCAATTTTGTAATATCATCACTATCTGTAATTAAAACAAAAATTACTTATCTTCAAAATTTCATTTAAGTATAATAATTTCAAACTTAGATATTCATTATGAAACTTACTAATATACTTCTTTACATTTATAATTTGTGAGTCTATATCATTTTGCAACTTAGTTAAATATTCGATATCTCTCTTTCGGGTTTTCAATTTAAATAATATCTGTTCATTGCCATCAATTTCTTCAGTAATTTTTGCTAATTGCGATGAAAATTGTTTCTCCTTCTTCTCCATTTTTTTTTTCAAGATAACTTCTATCATCATTAGTTGTAAATATTCGTTGTAAAGAAGATCTAACTCTGCATCGTTGCCTTCAGGATTTTCTGAATTTTCAGAATTTTCAGAATTCCTTGAAACACCTTAATCAATAAAATAACAAACATATTACACATGATAGTTCTTTACTTTATTAAATAAATAATATGAAGTCTTTATTCCTTTATCTTACCACCCTGTGAAAAGGTAAAATCACATGAAGCCATTGTTAATCTGTGTCGAGAAGGAAGTGGACGACTGCTAGTTGCCATGGTTCTGTTTAAAGGATCCATTGAGCTCTATTCTAACTGCTTAACTGGAGTGCGAACTGTGAGAATCTCTATCATAGAGCTCAATGAAAGGATCTAATGTAGCAATACGATGCGGAAGTCTAAAACAATACAGTGTGTTTCGTTTATCTAGCAAAGTAAATATCTCGTGACCCACTGAAGTTACGAAAAAAATTTATTTACAAAAATTGTTCGGAGGGGGGATTTCAAAGTCAAAATAAGTTTTCCTACATTACACAGTTAGGACTCTTTATACAGACTATTTGAATTGTTTGATTTGTCTTGTGACATAGCGCCGCTACAGTAATGCTTCGACGTGAAAAATGTGTAGTATAAGCTGTATAAGACTAAATGAGAATGTAACTAGATACCAAATGCAGACAGAAGAAAATTTACGATGGAATGATCAAATTTGTGCGAATCAAGGCATCCACATGTAGATATAATATATTGAATCTGCGATTTGATAAATAACGGCAAAATAAGAGATTCCTGAGATTGAGGACTTAGGACCTGAAAAACATCAGAGTTTCGCCTCTATAAAAGTACTCTACGGTTTAACTACATTTCCCCCATTTCCCCCACATGTATAACGCCGTAAGGGGATAGAGAATACGTTTGGCGTGCCTTATTCCCCTCAAACGCTAAAGAATTGTCACGTGTGTTGCATCAAACAGTATAGTTGGGTATAGATATCTATATTCAACGCAAGTGCATATATAGGTTATGCAAACATAAACAGAATTTGACATATACGTTTTGTAATGCACTTTGTATGAATTTTGAAAAAAAAGTATGAGCAAAATAAACTTGGAAATAATAACTTTTGTCTTCGTGTGCTGAATCTTGACTGTTAAACTCTTAGAGCGGAAAACTAAGCTAAAAGAATGAGCGGTGAAACACAAATCACTAATATCGTGAACGATATTTTGGTAAGTTAGTTTTATTGTTACCTTTTAATGATCTATTTCTTGCTTTTCTGAATAATTTTCCTCATTGAATTCTGTCACATTTTATTTATTATCACAGTAATTATACTTTTTGCGTAACTATTTTTATGAAACTGTTACAGAAAGTAGAAGCTATTGAAGAAGCTTTTAGCTGTGTACTTGTGCATCATCCGAATAGTGAGAGCGAAAAAATATCAGCATGGCAGGCAGAGTTATCATCTGCTATGTCAAATTTGTCCAAGGAACAGCAAGAAAATGCTGTAAAACAATTTTTATCCATGACAGCAGCTATGACTAATCACAGGCGATTACAATTGTTACTCTCCTTACTTGAACATTTAGTTACTTCTAATGTGTTGCCTGCAAGGTAAGAAGAATATGTTATGAATTAAATGCAATGTATATTTATATGAAACTGTATTATAGTTTAATATACACATATATGTTTTTAGACTTGTGTGTGAGTGTATATTCAGTTGTGATAAATTACAATATCAGTTAGAAGATTTTTGGGTTGAATGTTTTGTCCTCATTCGACATATTATCGGAGGTGTTGATTATAAAGGTGTTAGAGAAATAATGAAAGTGAGTATCGATACAATAAGTTTCAAAATTCTGTAAAAGTGATAGAGTAAATTATAATTATAATGTTATAGGGATGCAAAGAAAAAGCACAAACTATTCCTGCAAGATTAAATGCTTCTGTTCAGCCACAATTAAAAGCCTTGGAGAATGTAATTGAATACATTTTTGATAGAAATGCTTGTTTATTACCAGGCTACTTTATAGTGACTGAAATTCAAAAGGACTCTAGTGGTAGAAATTGGCCACATTGGGTACGTTACTTGAAAGGTAATATTTACTACATTCTGTTAATTTCATTATATCTTACAAGATTGATTACTTACAGAAACTGGCAAAACTGCTCTCAAACTTTGTTGAAAGTTTTCGCAATACTGCACAAATGGTGTCTATAGTAGGGCATTCCAAAATGCTACCAGTTGTAGAACACACTGGGTATGCAGATTCAATTAATCCCTGGGCACTCGATACAACGACTTTGAAATTTTCTTTAAAAGGGAATTTGCCTTATGACGAAAAATTACTTAAACCCCAAACTGGGTTACTTAGATATGTCTTGGAACAACCATATAGTAGAGATATGGTGTGTTCGATGCTTGGTTTACAAAAACAGGTATATATTTATACCTTAAAATTATATTTAAAAAGAAAATGTACATACTTTGTAATATTATTTTGTTTATATTATAGCAAAAACAACGATGTATAGCTTTAGAAGAGCAGTTAGTTGAACTTGTTATTCTTGCGATGGAACGCGCAGAAAACGAATCTTTACCAGCTGAAGGAACAGATGGTACAGTTGCCAATGACTATGTATGGTTGCATCTTTCATCGCAACTTATATATTTTGTACTTTTTTCATATGCCTGCTTTCCAAGTATTGTAATGGCAATACATGATAAACTAGCACGTAGAGACTTAAGAAAAGGGAGAGATCACTTAATGTGGGTCCTATTGCAGTTTATTTCTGGAAGTATTCAAAGAAATCCGCTATCCAATTTCTTGCCAGTATTAAAATTGTACGATCTTCTTTATCCAGAAAAAGAACCTTTACCTGTTCCGGATTATACTCAAGCATTATGCACTCATCAAATGGCTATTACATGTATATGGATACATTTATTGAAAAAAGCTCAATCAGAGCATTCAAATATCCATAGACCAATACCTCACACTTTGAAACTTCATCACGAATTTTTACAGCATTTAGTAATGCCCAATACTTCTCTTTGCATGGGTTCAGACTATCGCATTGCCTTATTGTGTAATGCGTATTCCACAAATCAGGAATATTTCGGTAGGCCAATGGCAGCTTTAGTCGATACTATCCTTGGTACTCAAAAAGGTCAGCAGCAACAACCAATGCAGACCTTACAAAATAATGCAGCTCTTGCGAGTGGCCCAACTACACCGTTATCTATGTCGATCTTGGATTCGTTAACAGTTCATTCGAAAATGAGTCTAATACACAGTATTGTTACCCACGTTATCAAGTTAGCCCAATCAAAAAGTAATATGGCATTGGCACCAGCATTAGTAGAAACTTATAGCAGACTACTGGTGTATACTGAAATCGAAAGTCTCGGTATTAAAGGTTTCATCAGTCAATTACTTCCAACAGTTTTTAAGTCTCATGCATGGGGAATATTGTATACACTCTTAGAAATGTTCAGTTATCGAATGCACCATATACAGCCGCATTATAGAGTTCAGCTTTTGTCACATTTACATAGTCTCGCAGCTGTGCCACAAACCAATCAGACTCAGCTTCACTTGTGCGTGGAAAGCACTGCTCTTCGTTTAATTACCGGATTAGGATCTGCTGAGGTTCAGCCACAACTATCTAGATTTCTATCAGAACCCAAAACTCTTGTATCCGCGGAATCTGAAGAGTTAAACAGAGCTTTGGTATTGACATTGGCGCGGTCTATGCACGTCACGGGAACAGGATCGGATAGTCACAGTGGTACATGGTGCAAGGAATTGTTGAATACAATAATGCAAAATACACCACATTCGTGGGCTAATCATACTCTCCAATGCTTTCCTCCGGTATTGAGTGAATTCTTTGAAGAAAATAGCGTACCAAAAGAGAATAAGCAACAGATAAAAAAGGCAGTAGAAGAGGAATATCGAAATTGGGCTTCCATGAGTAACGAAAACGACATAATAGCACACTTTTCTGTACCTGGGACACCGCCCCTTTTTCTATGTCTTTTATGGAAGATGATTTTTGAAACTGATCGTATCAGCCCAATCGCATATAAAATCCTAGAGAGGATTGGAGCTCGAGCATTATCGGCTCATCTACGAAAGTTCTGCGACTATCTTGTATTCGAATTTGCTAATAGCGTGGGTGGACAGCATGTAAACAAATGTGTAGATACGATTAACGATATGATTTGGAAATACAATATAGTAACCATCGATAGACTGATTCTTTGCTTAGTACTGAGAACCCATGAGGGCAGTGAGGCTCAAGTATGTTTCTTCATTATTCAATTACTTTTGCTCAAAGCCATCGAATTCCGAAATAGGGTTCAGGAATTTGTCAAGGAAAACTCTCCAGAGCATTGGAAACAATCAAACTGGCATGAAAAGCATCTTGCGTTTCATCGAAAATTTCCCGAAAAGTTTGCTCCTGAAGGTATCATGGAACAAACCAGTGGAGGACCTGGTCAATATCAAAATTTACCAGTCTATTTTGGAAACGTTTGCTTACGATTTTTACCAGTTTTCGACATTGTTGTACATAGATATTTGGAAATTCCAGCAGTATCTAAAAGCCTAGAAACGTTGTTAGAACATTTAGGATGTTTATATAAGTTTCATGGTTTGTATATTTTCCTATTAAATATTATACTATAATTTTCGTATTCCGGTTACTTTAGTTTAATCTTGTATACTGAATTTCAGATCGACCTGTAACATATCTTTACAATACGTTGCATTACTACGAACGTATGTTAAGGGATAGACCGCCTTTGAAACGACGTTTAGTGTCTGCTGTTTTGGGTTCACTAAGAGAAATCAGAGCACCAGGATGGGCACTTTCGGAGGCTTATCAAATGTATATGACTCGGTCAACCGATGACGTTGTTTCGTGGATGCCTGAATTGGATTATTATATTCGTTTAGTGCAAAGAATTGTCGAAAGTAAGTTCTTTTTAAATAAACATATTCTTTTTAAATAAAAAGTATAACTAATGTTTCTTTTGCAAAAATTTGTATTGAAGCAATGTCGAGTACGGCTCATTTCCCTGCCACTGATTGGAGGTTCAACGAATTTCCAAACCCTGCTGCACATGCACTGTACGTTACATGTGTCGAACTTATGGCTGTTCCTGTTGCTCCTAATTTAGTCGCTAATTCGTTGTTGGATGTGGTCGCGAAAGGGTAAGATGAAGTAAATCAATGTTATACATGTTATTGAATTTCTTAGAGTATATTAACAAACATTTAATTATATTAGGTATACAGTCATACCATCGGATGAAATTCACTTGTGGATAAATTGCGTGGGTTTATTGTTAGCTGCTTTGCCAGAATGTTATTGGTCAGCACTTCATGATCGACTAGTAGAGACTATTAGCAGTCCAGGATTAGCTAATTGGCAATACAGTAATTTAACTCCGTTTCAAATGTTCAATTTTAATAATACTCACGACAGTCTGCTGGAAAACAAATACAGTTACATGTTGGCATTGGCACACTCTGTATGGTATCATGCCGGTGTTGGACAAATAACCAAGATGCCTCAGTAAGTCTAAAGACGAATGCACCATACTTATTATAGTAATTTTAATATAATTTAATGCAATATGAATACGTTTTTATTTAGGTTTATTAAAGAGAAACTTCAACCAGTTGTGAATAGCGAAGAGCAATTAATATATGCTTGCCATTTAATTGGGCCCTATTTGGGAAGAGCCAATGCTGAAAGACTTGGAGAATTAGTAGTCTCATTATACGAGATGCTTGAACATGTGGATCGTCTTCAGACTCATTTAAAATACATGGAACCAGTTTGTGATTTATTGTATCCTTTCACTAATTATTACTTCTGAAATATCAACTTTGAAATTATATTGTTCGTCCAATATTGATGTAAATACGCGTATAACTCGCTAATAACTAATATTTTTCTTAACAAAAGTCGTAATAGGTACCACATAAAATATATGTATCTTGGTAATATGATGAGAAATGAATTGGAATGTATTATACGAAGATTAAAGCCGGCTCTGCAAATGAGACTACGGTTCATCGCTCATATAAACATAGACGAAATTCAGTCTTCCTGAGACATTCCTACCACGAGTAATGCGGAAGTGAATACATAATAACGTTAAGTCTTGGTTGCATCTACGTTGCCTTTTTAATAATTTAATATTATTTTTACACGGGCAACGTGCTGTAAGTATACGATAATTAGTATTTGAACTTAAAACAAATAATATTCTTTAAATGTCAGGAAAATATGTATATCTCGTATAAAAAAGGAAATTGACTTTTTACATGCAAATAAGAAATGCACATAGAAAGTGAAAGTATAGCAATGAAGTATTATAAATACAACAAAATTTAAGTTGATTTATCTAAACTTTATATTTATGACGCTTATCACTACGTATATATTTTCACAGTAATGTGAAAAGGCAGTATGATGCATTGAACGGGTTTATAAATGTATATTGTCATAGTAGAAGGCATAAGTTAAAAAGCTCGATGTTTTATACGTATTTATAAATTCACTAACCCTATTTATAAGCAAATACTGTACGATATGTTCTGAAATAAGTTCTCGTAAAATTTTACTAAATGATCATTGTAATACTGTAAGTGGTATTGCATATATTTTACTTTAGAAATTTAAATCAACATGCGCACGTTCGTGCGCGTAATATAGAAGGATTAAACTATTTATTATCACATATTGCGGAAGTAGTTTTATATCTCTGTTGTGATACTTAAAGCCTATCATAGTTAACATTTCCCTCTTTTAAATCTGCGATCAATTGTGCAAATTTCTCATGCGAACACTCGTTTTCTTGTACAAACGGCTGTGCTTTCATTTCTTTCGTCCATTCCATCTAAAATAAGTTTGAGATGTCAGCTTCTATCGTAATGCATAAAACGATTTTTACAAAATGCTGAACTTACTAATTGTGAGAATCTTGCATCTTTAATAATAATATGTTCTTTATAAATTAAAGATAGAGACTTTCGTCGTTCAACCCACGGCCACATCATTATATCCAACATACCGGGTTGAGTTCCTTGAATAAAAAGTACAAAAACAATGTTAGCTTGATAGTTTGTATCATTGAAGTTTAGAAACCAAAAAACTAATTTACAAACCTCCAAAGAAAGTGGTTCCACGAGATTTAAGTTCATCTTCATATTCTACTAATAGATCAAATATCTGAGCAATAATATCACTCAGTGGCCTTTCATCATTGCCATGTATACAATTTGAGAAAATACTAACAATCTTAAAATAATAAACAATTGTCAGTAATTAGTAGTAGAACTCGTGAATATAATAAAAAAGTTAAATTCCACGATCTAAATTTAACATTTATACTATTAACACTCTAATTTTCTGATATGGGATTACTGTGAGAATTACAAAAATTAAGTCTACAGATGATCACAAACTATGAGATCAAAATATTAATAGAATAAAAAGTTAAGTAAGACTGAAAAATGTATCTCTTTTAACTTTCAGTAAAATAAATACTGATACATGTACACATTTGTAACAATTTTGAAGACAATTATTTTATCATTGCTTTCTAATATGTATTGAGTAAACATTTGTTGAAATATTTTGCATGTAAAATAATATAAATATACGTATTTATTTCCATATAGTGATTTCTGTTACCTTAGAATAATGATCCAACAATTCCAGATCACGGGCCTTTGTTGCTTCATGATATAAAGGGGGTTCAGGATATTTTTCATCCAAATAATTTGCTATATCTATTGAATCTGTAACTACCTTACCATCGGTATCAACAAATGCTGGTACTTTACCTTCTGGATGAATCTAAAAAATTACAATAAATAATAATCAATTCATAGAATGGTTATTATCTTATTTACTCCTCAAGCATGATGCAATTTCTAACCCTAAGTGATTTGATACAGTTACTTATTCAAATTTTAGTGATTTTTAAATTAATTCTGTTATAGAAAAAATATTTTAAAAAAGTGTTTAATACATAAATATAGAAACACACTGTATATGCTCACATAGGTAATAATTTGTTGTTGTTAGGCACATATATGTACCAATAGTACACAAAAGGTTAATGAAGGTTTATGGGTCAATATATTGCAGATATCAGACCTAAAGGATTAAATAAATGATATGATGTATGCATCTACCTCAAAATACCATTCAGGCTTATTTTTCAAATTGATGTTGACAATGTCATGGGGAATCTTTTTGTAAGAAAGTATTAATCGAATTCGATGTGCAAAAGGACAAAACATCATGCTGTATAAACGTGTTTGTCCTGATACTTCTGCTGGTTTCTCAGAACCTACAATGCATATTTGTTGTAAATATCTGTGTAGTCTTTCAGATGTTAGATCAAATACAATAAAAGGCTAGTTATGACACAATAAAATACAATTATATTTCATGTAATGATATAAGCAAAATTTCATAATATAAAAACCTTCCAACTTTGACTACAGAGTAAGGAATGTACTGATTCATTTCATTAAAGATTTCATTCAAAGTTTCTTAACGAGAAAATCATTCAACTTTCAAAAAATAAACAGTGTGAAATACTTACCAGCTCCCAGATGCGCGCTACTCATGATTATTAAATATATTTAGGAATTTGCAAAGAAACAGTTAAAAGAATGATAAAATTTCAGAGAAATGAGGAAATAGTTATGCTTAGTAAAGTGTTGGTATGGTAATCAATTCCAATAAAAGCTGACAACACGTGACTATTTATTCGTACTTATGACGTATGTTAATCGTGTTTCTATAAATGGATGCTAATAAAATTACTTCGAGAAGTTACCGAAGAGGCTACAATACTTGAATTTCAACTATTTCTAGACCGAACAAATTACTGAAAGTCGATAAATGCAACTGACATACGACGATGCTGCAGATCAGATGGTTGCAGGTTGCAGACTGACAGTTCGCACTGTTTTTTTTTCTTTTTGAAGAAACAAGGTTACCTATGCGCATGAGCGAAAGTCGATTGATCGAATCGAATGTTTAAACGTATTTAGTAAAAAATTACTAATATTCGGATGGAAAAAATGTATTCATAGCTTCTTAAAAACTAAAATTCATTCTCTGTATTTATTGAAAAACAAAAATGACAAATTTCATTAAAAATTAATATGCTATTTTACACGTCGACATTTGCATAAAATACAGTACGTACAAAAATGTTGTATAATATAAAGTTCACATAAATGTACAACTTACCAGAAGTTAGTTATTGTCATCGTAAATTGATTAAGTTATTTGAGCCTTTGGAATGTTTGGACAGGCTTTAGTATTATATTTGTTTGCTTTACAAACAGTCTCAATGATATCGTTTATATATATTGTGATATTCATACATAAATGTTAAAATCGTGTTCGCATTGAGGCAAGCATGGGCACTGAATGAAGGATAAAATCATTTAATGTGTAATAGAAAAATATCTAACCGTCATCGATTTTGAACTCGCTAATATAACTTAGAAAAATACGTTGATCATTTATGGATCCATGAGATTGATTGCAGAAGGACGGAGATTTTGTTGATATTCTCCGAAGATCATAGCTGCTAACCATTTGTATTGCTCGTCCTTTAATGTTCCCGCTAACGTGTTTCCAAAAAATGGACTTTCTTTACATCTAAAATATAATTTTAATTTTTATTCAAAAGAATTGGTCAACTCGAGCCTGTTAACATCTAATTCAATCGTTACCTCGTTGGTTTTTTATTTCTTGGTATAAACGTAATAGACCACCTAAAACGAGAAATATACGGTACAGTTTTGGAAATAATCAATGCAATTTTTTCACTACAAATTTGAGAACAATACGCTTACCCAGTCTGTGGATTTCGCTTTGGCTCGTGTCCTAGATACCAAATGATATCCTCTACTTTCCATTCGTATAATTTATTAGAACAGACTTTATCTTTGTAGCAGCAAAGCTTCGTTTGACTAAATTCGAAGAGGTAGCTTTTAAAATGTTTCGTCTTTCTGTCTGCAAATTTAAGTTCACCGGATGGTGTCAATGGTGGTTTTATCTAAGAAAAGAAAAGAAGAAAAAATGAAAAGAATGAGATGAAATTTAAAAATGAAATTTACGTGTAAATCACAATATGATTATTCTTATGGCGTCGTAATTTTTATATTATGACTGTGAAATGACAACAATGAGCGCGATCAAGTTGAATTAAACCACATCCTGTTTTTGTGGCGAGTAAATGTGCATTTATCTCTTTCCCTTCTGACTCACGCAATCTGATCCATGCTGGGCAGGTCGCTATGGAAAATAATTTCTGACTTGTACGACCCTGAACCCCTCTAACCCAAACAGTATCATATATTCGGCCCGTGCGAAACGAATTGTAAGTTAAATTAACAGGGCTTATGATTCCATAACAAAATTATATAATTTATGCTGTGACAGCGTTGTCCATTTTCATCAGAGAAATTATAATTGAATATTGATTTAACGTCGTATTTACCAGTGGCACTATATCCTTGTACAGTCTATCTCTTTTAAGAATGAGGACGTTGTCCTTCCTATCCTCGGGATCCCAGTATCCCCACCTTGCCACTGTCTCGAGGACACGCTCGCCGTGATGCAACGGTCGTTCCAGTGCACCAGACAACGTACACTCCTCCAAACACAATTCATGCGCCGGCAAATTTGTTTTCTCGGCGAGTTCTTGACAAATATCGAACGCAGTCTTCTGTGGCCCAATCTACCGAAAGAAACAATATTTCTGCTTTGAATTTCTTATTTCCCTGAAGAAGCATTTACAACAAAGAATTTCTCTCTCAATTTTTCAAAAAATCTTTTCAAGTTCACTTTGCGTTTCTTAAATCGACCTCTATAAAATTAAGGTACACAAACGAAGAGAAATTTCACAGAAACGCGTCTGAAGAGTGACGTGTTCAACGCTATTCTAAACATAACTCAAGGTGATGGGCGAACGAAAGTTATTTAAATCGACGATCATCGGTCATTTTACAGAAGATTAGAACTGCGTGTAAGATGTGATTCGAGAAAGCAGGACGAATTCTGAAATATTTAGCTCGCGATTATTTTTTTCTTGAAACTAGAATAGAAGAGGGATCCTCACAGTCACATTGACGCATTCTCCATCCTTCGAGGAAATGTATATCCACATTTTCAGGTCCCCCGATGGCGCTCCTCGTGGACCATTGTTCGATACGTGATGCTTCTCGAGAACTTCTAAAATTTTTGCCTCCTTTGCCATCTCGGCGGCGGTCAGTTGGTAGAGCTGCGGATAGAGCCTTATCAGGTCACCGACCACTCTGGTCTCGGCTCTGTTCCATTCCTCCGCGCTGTTCTCGCCGGCGTGCATCAATGTTGGTCCCCAAATAGCAGATAAATTTTCGACGGTCATCAAGTTCCTGGAACTCTGCTGACTCAGACAGTGAAGGTGAGCGAGAATCCTTCTGAGCGTCGCCGCTGGCACAAGACTCAACGAAGATAATAGCTTCCTATACGTCGCGACTTTGTCGTTCTCGTTGATATTGTCTAAAAATCAAAGTACAGAGCTGAGTGAATCTCGCGTTTGAATGTTAATGCCTTATAGAGTGCCTTGGCGAGAAATTTATTCCATAATTGATCGTTTTATTTTCAAGGTCAAATATTAAATTTAAATAGCGGAGAGTTGCTTGGCCGAAAAGGAACGATAGAATTGGTAAACAACGGAGAATTCAAGACCAGCGAGAGTGAACGCGACGAAACGAATTAGGAGGGCTTTTACTCTCGAGCTACTAACCGGAAAGACAGGATACTCTCCATAAGCTTTGAACTTTTTTCCATTAAAACTGCACGAAAGGAATTAAAATATAATTATTTTTAAAATTACAAATTTCGAGAAAATACAACAACAACACCTGTATTGATGATACCATCTGTCTCAGCGTTATCAAATGCATAATGCAGTTATAAAGTAGATAATAATTCTGATTTTTTCACTATCGCTTTTGCGTCGTTTCTTCGAGTCATCATTACCAACGCGAAACAATTATCATGTGCAGCTTTTATCAGAGATGTAAGTACCTGGGTGCGCGTATGTACATCGTTGCTTTCACTAACGTGAGAAATACGATTACTCGTTATGAAAAACTACGTATGATTTCATCGACGACATCCGTGCGTTTCTCACGCTAACGTTCCGCCGTAAGCAGCCTCAAAATCAACGACAGGCGTCGAATAAATTTTAGTTCACGAGTTCAACGTTCGTTTACTATTATCATAATTATTCGTAAGTGTTGTCCAGTTCTAAGATCGATTTTTCTATTCTATATTTTCCTCAAGGTTTCAGTCTCATAATCGTACTCTTAACTCGTGTTCTTTCGCTTTAATTACGAATAAGTATTAAAGCATTGTTACTTAAATATTAAAAAGGTAAAATTAATAAAAAGTATCGTGCTTTTTAACCGACTTCGAAAAGGAGGAGATTACTCGATTCGACATGTATATTTATTTTTTTGTTTTTCATTATTTTGTTATGTTTTCATTTCCACTGATTAGGTATACCCTTTCATGAAATTAATTTTGAAGTGAAACTTTTTCTCGAAACGGATGGTAAATTACAGAGTGATCCTCTTGCTGATAGAAAGAAAGTGCCGCCGCGATAGAATGAAGTAGCCGAGGTCCTAGTATTTACAAGGTGGTCCCCGCTGCGGATGTCATTGTCATCAAGTTTTCGGATTACAGAAATGAGACGTCGGTTACTTCATTCCACTGCAGCGGCACTTCCTTCGGGTCTACTAGCGAGAGGATCACTCTGTAATTTACCATTCTGTAATTCGATTATGGGTCAGATTTGACCGGGCGTTTAAGGGATCAATTCGTAAGTAATAACACAGGAAATTTAATGATATGCTTCCTGTGAAAGGGGAGGTACAATGTGAGAAAGTACGCGTGGGCGTGAACACGGCTCCGCTTGACATTCTTCCTATAATTACGTATGCAAATGACGGCCGAGGGCAAGGAGCGATTTACTTACACGTACTACTCTTCGAAGAAAACATTTAACCTCCTCTATTAACGAGACAAATAGCTTGCGTTGGTTTTCGCACCAACAGTTTAAATAATGCACTAATTGCCTATTACGACACGTAAATTGGTTAAGGGTACATAATTTAATGTATTTTACTATGTAAATTTACTGTAACGCACTTTAATTTGCAGTATCTGGAGTTTGCCAGAGTAAAGGAGTTCTAGTTATCTGAAAATATTGGACATTAATGAATTTTGATTTATTAGTCATAATAATTCAGCAAAAAGTAATTTCAAGTATAACGATGGTTTCTTGTCATCGAAGAAATTAGTCTTGGGCAAGGTTAACCTACGATACGTAAAAAGGTTTATGAAATTATATAAATTTGTAAAACATATAAAATTTGTTTGTTAAAGATTAAATTCTGTCTTTCCTTGAGTTTCAATGCCCGTGGCGTTCGAGTGGTTTCAGTGTCAATGCGTCGAGTCAGTAGATTAAAACCGTGCATGGCCAGTCAAGGACAGTGAATGCTCCTTACCCGAGGTAAGACAAAGCCGATCGTGGATGTTGGCAGGAAACAATGGATTCGGTAAATCACGTAGAAACCTTCTGAGAACGGTGGCGACGTCGTGCTCTGTATACACGCCTCTCGTAATTTGCGTCGCCCATGCGTCCCGACGAAAAGCCTGCAGCAATCGTACAACGGCGCTGTTGGAACCACTTCGACGATAAATTCCCTCCGTCATTATACCTTTAACGTGACAATCGTGTTCTCAAAGTAACGCTCCATCTTCTTCGTACGAAATTAATAAAATTCTTATTAATAAAATGTTCAATGCTTAGAAAATACGTTTCAACCTTGTATGTTAGGTAATACTCGTACGTAAATAGTACAATTATTTGTTCATAGCAGTAAGGAAATAGGAATTAAGATTATACAAGTCATAAGTTGCCAATGTACGTAAACTTTGGAGAACTCAAAGGTTGAAAGATTAAAGGATAACAAAAAATATATATGCAAAATATACAGGGGTTAATAAGCATAAGCAGTGTCTTCCATATCCGTCCATCCATTAGGTCGTTCCATGAGCTCGTATTGCAGACTGAGCCAATATTTAAAAAAAAAAAATTATGATGACAGTATAATGACTATATCAGAAAGGTGGGAAAATATTGCACAACGAGACAGATTACCTTTTCTAAGATCACTTGAGGGTTTCATATATTAATTTGAACAGCAGAAGAATAAGTGGCACGAACTTATGGGACGACCTAATTGTATAAAATGCTGTACCGAGCAATTTACCATGGGCATATATAAAGTTGATACATTTGTGCAGAAACACAGGTACGTCGTCTTGCGTGAGTTGCTGCTGTTCCAAAGCAGGTCCGCAGGTGGTGGCTGCTTGGTAAAGCGCGTGCCTCCATGCAGATCCTTCGTGAATACCTGGGGCGGTCATGTGCAATGCTCCGCTGCCACCTGTGTCCACGACCACCACTGAAACGGAACCAGCACCGGAATTCGGTCCTTCCTGTTCTCGTAAAACTGTAACACAACGTTCAGAACTCTCTAAAAGATTCCTGCGGTAAGTCCCTAAAATAAAGACGCGTTCTTACTGCAGATATAACTCAGAAAATAATATAACTGAATGGACGATTAGACCGAACGGACGATTGTCTTATGAAAAAAATAATTCTTGTTCTCTGATAAAGAGAACTTACCGATGCAGCGTGCTTTTCGAAGGTCGAGTTCTCCAAAGGTGATGGCCATGAAGGGATCCAGAGATTTTGTATAGATTAGAGTCCTTTGGTGCAGGAGAACCCAAGCTGGAAACCACGTGCCTGTTACACCTTCCTGAAACACACACCGACTGGTATTAGTTGATACAATATAACGTATTAAATGTAGGCCAATGTTCTGTTTTTAGCATATTATCTTGAATAATAAACTAAACGTCATTATCATTACTTCTGAAGTAACAAAATTGCTCCAAGACTAACGACAACTACTTCGATACTACTACTTAATATAAAACAATCTTGATCTATGACATCCATTCGATTAAAGTTTACTTGAACTATATTTATTAAACGACAGGTATTGAGGTACGTACCATTAGTTGTCAAGATACTCGTAAGCTTGGAAATTTAAAAGATATTCTGAGTCGATAGATTTCGAGAATTCTACTTTCCATACAGTTTTGTACATTTTTTTTTTTTTTTTTTTGGTGTACCTTTAAGTAGGCCCATCCTGCTCTCGTCAGATCAGCTATATATTTCGTGGGAAAGACTGGAGTAACCGCCTCCAATATTCTTTGAGCCCAAACCCTTCGTTCGGCGATACCCTTCGCGTAGAACACGTGAATGCTTGGCCTTCCGTCCACGCTAATCGTTATACAATGTACCATTTCGCCATCGACAATCCTGAACATTTTAAATCACCTTCGTTATCCTCCGTTCCCTTCAACATTCACACCTCTTTATACGTAAAATACCCTTCCTTTTGCTGAGCGCTGAGAACGGTTGCAATTTAATCGCAAGGAGGCTTTAATGGATTTAATAAATATATTAAAAAACAATTGAATTTATCAACTACCGCGTATCACTGAATCGTGTTTCAGTACAGATCAAACTGTATTATCTCGCGACTCGTTCCTCTATCACGCGAAACAGCGGACTCACTTTACATCCTGCAGAAGATGAATGCTGTACACTGTATCGAGTTGAACGACCTCCTTCAGAGTAGACATGCCCTTATCGGCGTAAAACGAGAGTTTCTGGTCGGCCAATACCGTCACCCTCGGCACGAGATCCTTCGCCCTCTCGATGCCCGCGCCCGTTCTGTAAACGATTCCTCTGTGCGTCGCAGGATTCTGCGGTGTGTTCACCTTCGGCCTCTCCAGTTTCGTCGACTTGGAGCTCGACACTCCGCCGTGGTCGCGATTCCTAGACAACAATTTACTGCCGCTCTTCACGAAACTGATCATGTTCGGCCTGATACCGTGGCTCGCGGAATCGTGCCTCAGTTTCCTCAGTTTCTGTATCATGCCCACGCGTCGATGTTCCTCCGCAGCCTTCCCTTTCGAGGGACTGGTCATCGTCTCTTCGGAATTCTTCGTCGACCCGGTCGTCGTTGCTGCGACTGTGGATTTTTCGAAAGAGAGGTGGCGCTTGAGATTATACATTTATTAATCGACTTCGAAAAAGGAGGAGGTTACTCAATTCGACGTGTATATTTTTTTTTTGGTTCGTTGAGGTGGTACTCTTTTTTTTGGTGGTGGTGGTGAAAAAATAGATTTTGTTATATTCCTGATGTCTAAAATATTTCTACAAAAGTCTTTAAAAGTTCGCGCATTTTTTACGTTGCTTCAGTTTGTGCAATTTTTTGTAGTCGTTGAGATTACTTTATATGCAAGTGTTATACAGGGTGTGCCAGAATTAGTAGCTGAGACGATTCTGAAGAAGAATTTTTCCCGACATTTTTCCAAGGGAAATTGTGATTCAGAATCGTCTCAGGTAATTTCTGGGAAAAGTCGTTTACCAGGTGGATTTCCATCGGTGGTCGCGGTGACATTGCTCGGAGTAGGTGGCAGCGGATCGTTGGAGCGACTTTTCCCCGTCGATTTCCTAGGTGGCACAGCAGGTTGCTTTCGCGTCACCAGGTGAGCCAATTTGGGCAACAACGCCGGATTTTTCCGTATCGATGTCCGGTCCGGAAACGACGTGGTTCCCGCGACCTCGTCGTACTCGCTTTTCGGCAAAGAATCGAATCTCTTCGGTGGTTCCGGTGGCTCCGTGGAAATTTGCGGATGCAGAATATCTTCCTCGTCCACTTCGTCCTGCTCTTCCTCGTTGTCGACGGCTTCCTGGAAATCGAGAATGCTTCCGCCGCTGCTGGCCGAATCGTTGGTAGCCAGCAGTGTCTCCAGTAGCATCATATCGTTGTTCTCGAAATTACTGTAAACATTCTCGTCGGAGTGGCGCGCGAACGGATCGAATTCGAAAAGCAACGACTTGCTGTTCAACTGTCTCGTCTCCACACTGGAGGACTGTTTGTCCTCTGGCTGCGTTTTTTGTGGCGATAAATTCTCGTACAATGAATTTTGAATGGAAGCTTGACTCTCGCTCGAGGCGGAGGACGTCCTGTCCTTAACGGGCACCTCCTTGTCCAGGACGTCCTCCTCTGCGCTGGATATCCTGTCCAGCTCGTCGAGCCCTTCGGACCTGCCAGCTGCCGCGGTGTCATAAAACGTCCAAGAATCGGACCTGGACAACCTCCTGGTGTCGGTCTTGTCGTGTGGCAGGGTCACGTTAACGTCGGACAGGTTTAAACTCTGATCGGAGTCGCTAGCCTGACGAGAAACAGCAGGGAGTTCCTTGATAATATACGATCTACTATTGCATAGTGTTCCGTCTCGCGTGTATGTATTGGGATCACGACTGCTATCGTTGGAACGATCAGTGATAAGAAAAGGGGCATAAGAGAAAATTGAATAATTTTGTGCCTCCCTGTGTTGTCATCGCCAATTAATACGCCTCTGCGCGCGGTTATCGGGTGATAAAAGGTAGTTGAACGTTTTTGGAATTAATTTTTTTTAGGTCTTCAAGTGTTAACGCTTTTGGAGCTGATCAATGACATGATATTGTAGTATCGCGTCCCCTATACCCAACAATAAGAAGTCGAACGAAAACACAAAACGTAGGATATGAGATTTGTGGAGTAGGTAAAGCGATCGACTGTGGATTCGAGGATCGTCGGCTCGAATCTCCGTGCCGTTTCGTTTAGAGTTCTATAATATTTCATTTGTTCGGTGATTCTCAGGATTGAATGGCCAGTGATGGGGATGGTTTCTGTGGATTTCAGGAGACTTTTGTAATCGGCTTCGACTATTCCTGACTTCATATTTGGATTTCACAACCGGCGTGCAACCATCAGGAACGAAAATTCGAACGTCCACGAACCGAATATTTACCTGATTGAGGGCGAAACTGAGGAGATTGAAGGAATCCGGAAAGTCCCTCTCGACTTTGTCGGAGACGGTCGAGCTGATAGTGTCGTAGCGACTGCTGCCCGACGTAACGACGGACTGCAGCTCGTCGTAGATATACACGTCAGGATGCGGAGGAGGAGGATAAACCGGAGGCGGTGGACTGTGTCGCGTCCCGGAAAGGTCTTCCTCGTTTCTGACGCTCCTCAGATTGCTGTTCAAGGGACTGTAGAACGTGATACCGCTGAAAATATCGTCGGCGGGCATCGAGACGCATCGTTCGTCCTCGGTTGGGTCCTTGAACGCCTTCGTACCGGTCGTGCTGTCTCGAAAGTGCTCGTCTTGGTTCAAGGAGGTCAATCGTCTGGTCAGAAGGTTCTTCACCGATTTTTCCAGCCTTATGCTGGCGTTTCTCGTGCTCGAAATGACCGCGCGGCCCTTCGTCGTCACCTTCTCCGAAATCTCGTCTTTCAATTGGCGCGAGCTGGTGGTCAGATTTCGGAAAAATTCGTTGTTCGCGGCGCGCGTCTCCGGTGTCGATTTCGAGTCGTCGCTTTTCTCCGATTGGCTCGAGTCGCTGTGACTGCTCAGCCGAGCTGCCGGAAGGACCGGTGGTAATCTCCTAGGAGTAGGCACCGGTCGATCGGGCACCGTCGATCTGGGTTTCGGGATCGGTTTTTCCTCCATCAAGATTGCGTATTTCTCCGCCTCGGCGCTATCCTTTAACCGTACGATCCAGGAACATAGAAGCTGCGCCACATGCTTCGATCCCCTGGACACAATTCGTACTGTTTTTTTATAGAGGAAATGAGAGAAATCTATTGTTTCTCCGCGGTTGCATACCGATCGATCAAGCGTTTCTTCGGATCGTATTTATTTCAATCTTTCCAAGGGTCCAGTAAAATAACGTAGACTGTAGAGGAGCCGCGTCTTGACTTCTACTTTTTACTTTGGTTTCGAGAGGAGGATCAACTTTTGACACCGCGAAGCTCGAAACGTAGAATTATCTTTTAATCTGCATTATTCTGTCACGCAGTTTTCCGGAAAGTCTAAATAAATACGATTCGGAGAATATCTATACTTCATGCGTCACCCGAGTGTGGGTGACAAGGATTTTCACTAAGGAAATAAATATTGGTTTATTCACTAAGGAAATTGATTTGATTCTGAAAGCGAAGGGTTTAAACGAAACAAAATTTTATCCTAGTAGGAATTTTGACCGCTCCAAAATACTCGAGTGTTAAATAATACTATTTGTATGATACATATCGGATCATATTAACGTTAATGCAAAACAGATATTCTTTTTCAAACTTGATCATTTAATGCGAGCGTAAACAATTATTTGAGTATTATTCGTCAACCTGTGGCAGAGAATGTCTTGATAGATGATACCATCGTGTTCAGTGCAACTTGAGATGGAAAGCAACCACACGAGACAAGGAAAGAGGATTAACCAAGTGTTTTAATCTGATAATTTCTTAATTCACTTCGCTCTTCGCAGGCACTCGAGTTTAGCAAATATGTGGTAGCTGGTTCAAATTGATAATTACAATTTTGTATGGGAATGCGTAATTCAGAGTTGCAAAGGAGTGAGTAGTATCAAATTACGTATAATTTTGCAAACGTCCCGAAGAAATACGAGAACGTATCACAGCAATACGATAATAACTTCAGCTTGAATCTAAACGTCTCAACGATTTTAAACTACGAAAATTGCAATTTTCTCAACGTATTATTTTTAAGCAACGAAAAGCATTGGTTTGATCATAGTGGTATCGCAAAGCAGTGAAAGTATGCTAAACTTGTTGAGTAAACAGAACACATGTGTGCTGTTGCAACACACACGTGCAGCATACTGATTCCTATTTTTACATCGAGTATAAAAATGTGTGTCCAACTATTTGCTTAACCAATTAATTTTAAAGTGAATGTCCGGTAATGGGTTTCAGAGAATTAGTAAATAGCAAATGTTATCAACGAATGGTTGGAATTAATTAAAATTAAACGATTCGTATGATTGAAAATGGTGTTTCCTTAGGAGGACTTCTGGGGTCTTTAATCTTACTAGGTTTTAGATTATTTATAAATTACATCGCAATCTTCGTCCATTAATTTTTCTGAAAATCTGTTCAAAAACCTATCGAGGCCAATTCTAGGGACAATGAACCCAGCACGTGCGTGCGTATACGTATATAAAAGCGATGCTTCTTCTAACGAGCTAATGACTTATGCTTTATAGATATGCTTTATAAGGCCATGATTTTCCGAGCCAGATAGTTTGTAATCCGCATAAAGTTAGTAAGAGTATTCCGCCATAATTTAACGTTAACATGTAGGAGAACAAGCAATTTCGTTATCAGAACGTATCGCATTGTAATAAATACAATTAATACTCGCTATATAATTATAATATATAAACGAACATTAAACACTACTCGAAATGTATGTAATTAATATCCGATAAGATTGGAGTTCGAGCGCCGAGTCACGAATGATCTCAGAAGTAAAACTTGGCAGAAGTCGTCCCAAGATTAACAAAGGTTAACCATGCTCCGAGACATGTTGTTGAACGAATGGATATAAGAAAAAAGAAAAATAATAACAGTTAATCGTACTTCGCAAGACTCGACGATGGTCCTTCATTTCGGGTATCTCGATGAAGCGTCGAGCACGTACACGAAAAATGATTAACACTTGCTCCGTACATTCCACCAACGACAGCTACTATAGTAATAAAGACAGCTCGGTGCGAAGCACTTCTGCGCGGTTGAATCACCGCATCCGAGTCACGTGGTTAGCAATGAGGAGTTGGAATAAATCATGTTTTATAATTTCGATTGCTCTCGATCGTCGTTTCTCTACTTACAAGCCCAATGCGGGCGTCTTGCGCGTAATAAAGAAAGTTTGACCAATTCTAAGTAAAGTCGGTTTGATTCGATATCTGTCGACAATGTTCATTGTCGAATGTAAAATGTGATTAATTTAAACGAGACTCGGTAAATATGGAAATCATGGTGCATCGTTATGGAAATATGTAATTCGAATGGTAATTGTACGCGTTTACAGCGTTTAATATTCCGTGTGCAAGCGTTAAGGATGTCAGCGTACTCTTAACTGGAATTATTAACACCCGTATGGTCACGAATTGGTTGAAAACAACTCCCTATTAAGATGCTCGTTTAACACTGTATCGCTAGACCTCCGAGACGAGTGCAAGCAATTAACGCCAACAAATTTAGGTTATCTTACCGTATAGGCCTGTACAACATTGGGTTCTTTTATTTACTTCAAATAAAACTATTGTAATAAGAACATTGAGAACTTTAAGGATAAGTAAACTAATCATTAACTGATTAACTCATCGAAAGGCATGGCAAACACATCACCTGCTAATCGAGCGGAAATAGTGTCTATACGAAACAATATGACCCCGTAAAGTAGCGAATAACGATACATACAACTTGACAATAAAAACGTGTATCGTACAACCTGACATTTCTTTGGGGAAACAAAGAGACCGAAACGATAAGAAAGGAAAGCCACGTGTGCGATGTTCTAGGAAGTCTGACAATTGTTCCTCTCGTATCACCTATACCAAAAAATAAAAGAGAACACATTCGCTCGATTTAATCATTCAAACTCTGACGGTAGAATCTAAAAGCGATCGTTCGCATCGCGTTCGTATGGACGATTGTAAATTAGTTTATGCCTCACGGGAGAACGATTAATTGTCAACGTCTGGTTACTCCCTGTTGCGTTTGAATCATCATCGTGTGCGAGTCACGTGACGAACGCCGTAGAGTTAAAACGCTGAAAAAACCTTAAATTGACAACGCAACCGTTTCGCACCGGTGAATCACCGTTTGGAAATCCGACGCACACCGACCTATCAGGTTTCCGGTATTTTTCGTTGTTTCACTAACCAACATTTACGTCACGTGGACGGTTTCCATGGCTCCTCGGTTCCGATCCGGGGAATCGACGGGCCTGGACCTAGTTTCCCATGTTCCTCATTGCGAGACAAAGGAGAGAACCGCGCGCCGTGTTAACTCCGTTCAGTCCAGGACGTTATGTGAATCATAGTTAAGTCGCGTCGTCGGCAGATCCATCACAGTTTCTAAAATTAACTGATAGCTCCGCTGCAAATGATAAGTATTCCTCGTTATTCTCTAAACGCGCGGAACTTGCTTCTACGGCGTTAATAAGCAAGGATTTCTGGGTCTGTAATTGAAACCGAGTAGGAAGTGGAGACGTTTTAAGTAGGCCACCTGAATAACTTGCCTGCTTAAAACGATAGATAGGAGGAGATCGGAAGAACCTTGCCTGGTTTCGAGTCTGGAACGTAGTCTGGCATTTTTTGTGGGTGAAAGTATAAAGGAGTGAAGATCAACTTTGTTTTTAACACGTTCATGGCGGCGCTGTTGTTTTTGTTTGTTGCCGTGGGGCGGCGCAACGGTACCAGTCGTCTGATAGACACGCGAGCGTGAGCCACCGGTGGTACACGCCGCCGTGAACGTGTTAACCCATTTTCATAATTAGCGCACATATGCGCGCAACCTACTTGGAAATTAAATTCAAATAAAACATTGGTGATAAGAACGAATTTTTTACTTTTCCGTATGACGCAAATGGGGTTAAACGAGATCTGTCTGTTTACTTAGTTTATATTGAACCCATTTAAATTTTGCGGAACCTATGGATAAAGGTTATACAAGGTCGTTGAAGGTCAACTACGATGGAGAATACT